CTTCTAGCGGTCCGCGTTACGTCGTGACTTGCAAGCAGCGGTTGGACGCAGAAAAGCTAACTACAGGGACTCGAGTGGCCTTGGACATCACCACGCTGACTATCATGAGTAAGAGCTCTTCTGACGTAACGAGGGTATCGTTCCTCCTCAGAGGCGATGCCTAGAGAGGTCGACCCGCTCGTTTTCAGCATGCTTAGTGAGGACCCTGGGGAAGTGAGGTAATGCTCGCATCAGTAGCATGGGTTTGGGAAGCTTCTAGAGGAACAGCGAGGAATTTATAATGTTAACGGGGGGTATCATTTTTCAATTTTCCACGTATGCCTAGGAGCACATTCTTCAATCAGTTTCCCATGTAAATGTCATCATCACATTAGGAACATCTTCCCCATTGTTATCAAACCATGGGAAACCTCATTTCTCAAAGAACTTGCTAGGTACTCGGAAGTCGGCGGTCTGAACGAGCAAATCAGAGCTATGCGGGAAGTTGTCGAGTTACCTCTCACTAACCCTGAGCTCTTCAAAAGGGTTGGTATCAACACTCCTAAGGGAGTACTATTGTAATTCTCTAGGTGGAAAATATGCGTTCATCTGGTTGCCTGTAGATACGGTCCACCGGGAACTGGCAAGACTTTGTTGGCTCGAGCGATGGCCCATAACATGACGGCAAGCTTCATCAAGGTCGTGGCGTCGGCTATTGTGGACAAGGTAGGTGGCTGGAGGAGAGGCTGGCAATTTTACGGTTTTTCTATCAGTACATCGGAGAGTCTGCACGTGTGATTCGTGAGATGTTTGGTTACGCTAAGGAGCATCAGCCGTGTATTATTTTCATGGATGAAATCGATGCGATCGGTGGCAAGAGGTTCGGCCAGGGTACGAGTGCTGATAGAGAAATCCAGAGAACGCTTATGGAGGTAGTAGAGTTATTCGAGAGCTTCTGTGTGTGGGGGGAATATGCACATTGCCAACTACATGTGTTGGTGACAATATGAAAATTCTGAGGAAATTGGTTTCTGTACACTCCTGTGCAATTTCGTATATGAACTCCTATAATCAGTGGGGGAATCTCAGGACTCAGCTGAGGAGAGCAAACATATATGTGCGATAGGGTATTGTCTCCTTCTCCTCCTCAGCTACTGAATCAGCTGGATGGCTTTGATGATCTCGGAGCCGTGAAGATAATCATGGCCACTAATCGTCCTGATGTACTACTGCCTCCCCCCTGTTTGCCTTGTGTAGCATCAATGCTTAGGTCCTCGACCCAGCCCTCCTACGTCCTGGTCGTCTTGATCGTAAGATTGAAATCCCCTTGCCCAACGAGACTGCTAGAGTTGACATCCTTAAAATCCACGCTAGTGAGTTCAGAGATAGGATGATGGAGAAAAGTTGCTATTTGTTCAGGCAAGCTGGCTAAGCACGGTGAAATCGACTATGACGCTTTAGCGAAGCTCTCTGATGGCTTCAATGGAGCGGATCTTCGCAACATATGTATTGTTGGTGATGAACTCAGAAGTGTGGAGTTGTTCATGGTTTAGGTACAGAGGCTGGTATGTTTGCTATCAGAGCCGAGCGTGATTATGTTATTGAGGAGGATTTTATGAAGGCAGTTCGAAAGTTGGGGGAAAGCAAGAAGCTTGAGGGCAAGTTGGATTACGAGAAAGTATAAATACCATCGTGAATGGCTGCTGCATCGATGGTGGTTGTCAAATCCGTCGATTAAGGAATGCGTTTCGATAGAGTATTTTATTGCGTTTGCAAGTCGGGTCACTCACTCTTATTTATCCTCGATCTGATTCTGATGGAAGACAACTTGTGAAGTGCTGAGGGAATAAGTGACAGTTTACTACAGTGCTGGCTCAGTGGATGATTCTTCGCACGAAAGGCTATTGCCATATATTCAACCACATGGATTAAACGGGCTCAGTAAGAATTGAACTCGAGACCTTTCGCTGGCTGACCCGACCACTTAACCTTTGGACCAAGATGACTTCTTAACTTTTCGAAATATTCTCTTTCACCCGAGAGAGAGAGTACTTAATCATGAACAAAAGGCTTCATGTGTTACTGGAAATTAGCATGGAAACTGTAACATGGCTCAACCGTGCTCTCTCATCACCGTCGCGCCCGAGGCAACCTCTTCGGATGAGGTTTTACTGTACAAGGCTCGTCGCCCGACGCCGCCGGTCGTATTCCACGCCCACTGCTATGGGACACCTAAAAACGATGAAGTCGTTTGATACAACACGAGGGATTACACTCACTCGCTCAATCGCCTGTGCGAGGCCTGCGAGGGCGCTGGTCGTTGAAAGCCCGGCTGGGCTGTTACAAAAGTTGGGAAGGGAGGAGTTGACGTTCCCTCCAGAATTGATATTGAGCATATCAACTGAATGATGTTGCCATTCTTGCACAACTCTGTGACTTTCACGCAGCTCTCCTTCAACAGTGTCGAGATGAGTTCGAAGACTGGCAATCTAAAACAAGTGGACCCAACCTCGAGCTCACCAAAGCAGTGCTGAGATATATGTTCGCTTTCCTCAGCCGAGTCAAGGATTTTCCTCGATAACTATAGAAGGTTACATACAAATTCGGGTAGAAGTGTATAGAAACTAATGAGAATTTCGTTAATTTTCCTCAGAACTTCCACAAATGTTTCCTCCACATGTAGTTGATCATGTGCATATTTTCTCTTACCGAATCATCCATTCCGCGAGAAACTCTATTCATTGGGCGGTTCTACACCTCTTCAGAACAACTATCCCAGTGCTGGAATATATGTTCGCTTTCCTCAGCCGAGTCAAGGATTTTCCTCACTAACTATAGGAGGTTACATACAAATTCGTGTAGAAGTGTACAGGAAACAATCTCTTGTATTTTCCACAGAATTCCTACCGATGCAGTTGACCATGTGCATATTTTCCCATACCACACCGAGGGTCACCTGATGCTCTTGCAAGCTGCACTTTTGCTTATAAAAGCTGTGACGCTCCTGCAACTTCTTGAGACGATGGTCTTCCTTCTTCTCGGCAATTTGCTTCCACTCCGTGACGCTCTGGCGCAGTCTATGAGAAATGAGAATCTCTAATTTGAAAAAGGAGTGGTATTCACTTCTGTATCTCCTCCTCGTATTGCCGAGCCCTATTCTCAGACTCTTTCTTAGCAGCTTCGATTGCCTCTACCTCCCGTTTGGCAGCCAACATGTCAACCTCGCTGGACCGGAGCCTGGCGACCTCACTTGCCAACACTAGTCTATCTCGACTCTCTCGATCCACATCTCGCGACAGTGCCTGAGGAGCTGCCTCCATCGAGGCCACCACCCGAGGCCCACCTCAACCTTAGCCTGGGATTGCCCAACCTCAAGCCGCAGTTGGACATTCGCATCTCTCTCGTTCCTCAGAGTCTGCTGAATAGCTGCTAAGGACTGCCTCAGCTCGGCAACTTCGTCCGAGTGCTCCGCATGCTCCTTTTCAGCACGCTCTTGCCAGTCTTTGATCAACCTGAGATTCGCCTCCGAGGTGGCCTCTGCCTTCCGCACGTCCTCATGGGCCTGCTGTAGCTTCACCGCATATTCCCGAGCCCTTTCTTCGGCCCGACATGCGCCCTACGGAAAACCTCACCACCCTCGTAGTAGAGGACCGCACCTCTCGAATTCGTTCGAGCTCTGCCACCCAGAAGCCCTTCGCTTCATCGACTCCTTGAGCCCTAGCAGTTGCGACTACCAACGAGGAGAAGCCAAGAGCATACAGCTTGGTCCTGATGAAGTGCGCGAGGCGTGGTATGAACAAGAGGCGACTCACTTAATTCGTTGCAACACCTTAGCCAACACCACTAACCCCATCGAAGTGGAGTTCTCCCTCCGCTGCCTGAGGGCTGCCCACGCCGACTGGTTCCTCAGCTGGCAACCAACGTATTCGATCCACCTCTTCCAAGCGTAACGGGTAGAGCAACGATGGTTCATTGCTACGCCTTTCAACGCTATCGTAAGCCTCGACCGAACAAGCTCAATGTAGCGTCGCCAGGCAAGGAAGGTTGCTTTCAGTTGACGGCAGGTGACCTCCTCACTCAGCGATGTGACGAAACCAACAGCCCGCTGCTGTAGCCTGTGCTTGAGAGCCACCTGTTGGACCGTGCTGGTGAGGAACCTCGCCGTCCGACTCTTTAGGATCTGTTTCCGTAACCAATACACTGCTAACCGAAGAAGGGCTCGCTGGAGGGCCGAGACTAGGCCCGAGAGGACTGTACGGAATTTAACAAGTCCTCGCAGCCTCGCCAATGCCCGTCGCTTCCCTCTAGCCATCCGAGCCACCCCTAGAGACCGCTGAGCTAGGTCAACGTACTTAAGCCTGAAGACAGTAGCTTGCCAGAAGCTCAGATACGCCCTCATTCGGTGGGCTGCGAAAAGCTGGAGGCGATTAGAAAGGCAGACTAGACTTTGACGCTTCCTTTCGGCGGCTTGCCGTGCGGCGAGTAACGCCCCCATGGGACGACGCAAGGCCTCCCTCACCACCCGAGCAAGGACTCTCCGAAGGCGACGAACGGCGAGCATACGCCGACAGAAGCGAGCCCAAGAAGTGAGAACATTACGGTAGGTGTTTTGTCGTCGTTCGTGCATTGCTCGTGCAAGGCGATGCGCTCGCTCTAGCTGAGAAGCTCTGGATGCCGTGAGGAGCGCCGTCCAGTACATCTGTCTGCTTCCACTTCGACAAGCCATCGCGACCAACGCAGTAGTCTTCCGATGAATTGTGGCGGCCTTCATAGAGGCATCGTCGTTTGCAACAGAGCGAGTCCAGGCCCGCCAAGAGGACAATCCCCATCGGAGATTTACCCGAATTACGGTATATACAAAAACGGCGAGCACACGACATTCCTCCTCATTGCGGTTCTGACGCTCAACAAGCCGTTGCTTCAACTCAGCAATAACATAACGCGTATCGATGTTGACGACCCTAGCCACCGCTCGGAAGAGGAAACCACAAGCTGAGTACTTCCGGACGATCACAGCGACGATCACACGCCACCGCCCTATCGCGGCTCGTAGCTGACCTCGCCGCATACAGCGCAAGACGATTTCCTCCACCCCAGCAGAGTGGCGAATAACAACACAAGCATGATTAGGCTCAGTAATCCGCAATGACTCGAAGGCCTCCGCTAGCCTCACACGGAGAGCTCGGCGCCACAACAGGTCAGCACCTTTCACAACAGCCTCGGCATATACTCTACGTGCCTCAACAACCTGCATTAGAGCTCGCCTGACGGCCCTAATCTGCGCTCTTATGAACTGCTGCCACCAGCGTTCCATCACTCGTCTCAACCGTATCACAGCATTTCGGCCGACCTTGCTCCTCAAACGCCAGAGCATGAAAACTGCGACAACTCTCCCCTGGTCCTGTCGCCTCTCCATAGCCGCCGCTTTCACCGCGAATCTACCCGCCAGTTCCTCCACATCACGATGGTGCCGAATTGCCGACTGGTTGAGCTCAGCTTGAGCCTGTTGTAGTTTCCTATGCGTCTCGTCGATGACGTGCTTAAGATAGGCTTCTATGTGGACATTGCGGACCTTCTCATTTTCCAGCGCCACCGCTAGTGCCTCCACTTCATTTCCTACCCTCCCAGCAGCATCTTCAGACAGCATACGGTGCCTCTCCCGACCGACAAGACTCGCCGACAGCATCGTCCCCTCTCTAAATCGAGTAAACGCATATAGCAACCGAAATTGTAGTTGAGGAGCTAACGTCAGCACCAAGAGCTGCAGAGCGACTCTTCTTTTTAGAGATATAATTTTTGGCGACATCGAATTGGCCTCCCTAGCCGCTCGCGAGAGGCGTGCAAGCGTGAACCAGTGCTTGAATTCTCTCCGCACCTTATTGCGTCCCTCCACCCTTGCCCGCGCCACTGCCAAATTCCTATTACGCTGAATCGCCACCAGAGACCTCCTGAGCAGCCTCCTCTCCCTCTTCTCCGCTCGACATACCATGCGGCTGACCAGACGTAGCCTAGCCAAGCCAGCTCGTCCTTGTAGCCTTCTGGTCGCAGCAGAGAGGGCCTGGACTGCTCGAGGAGCCTCTTTTTTTGCCCAACCACTCCATCGTCTCCACTTAGCAAATGCAGCGATAACACATGCAGGGTACTGCCATATGAACACTGCCGACGGCCCAAGGTCTCCTCTCTGAGCGAAGCGGAGCTGAAGTCTTTCGATTTCCGCCTTCCGACGACAGTAGTGTCGCCAGAGTCGCAAGGCTCTTCCCTTCAACCTAGACACCATACTGCAACTAAGCAACGTATCGGCGAGCCGCTGCACTCCTTCTCTCCGTCGCGCTGCCAACACAGCACTCGCAGACCACTCTTGAAGAGTCGCCCTGAATTCACATATCACTATGATGATCAAAAGCCTCGACTAACTTCAACAGCTTCATCTTGGCCCTCCTGCGATCCGATCCCACGCTCCTTATGGGAGGCCGGGCCGGCGTCCGCAACGCTGTATTCGGCGTAGGAGCAGTAGCAGATGAGGACTCCCCACAGGCTTCGGTGATCACTCGAATGGCCCTCCCATCAGCAAACATAGGCAGCTCGTCCAGCTTGGGAAAGCGGGCTCGTAGCTGATCGAAAGACGCTCGGTCGGGGCCGGATAGACTCAGTAGACTACTACCACATTCCTGCAGTATTTTTTGATGTTCTGATTGTTCCCTTCACCGAGCAGTCGAAGCAAGAGACCCTGAACAGCCCTCCAGCCCTCGGATACCACTCAAGCCTCACCTCAGCCTTTCCTCTCTGATCCTCCTCTCGGTCGTCCCCTTCCGAGGCCTTCCGTATGGCCTTGTCCAGTAGGGCATCTATCGCCTTGTTACTGGTAGGAGCTTCGGCTCTAGGAGGAGGGGTCGCGTCGGTGTAGTAGTGGCGATAAGGCGTTAGGTGCATTCTGAGCTCACATACTACAACACGACCGACCTATTCAATTGACCAACACTACATGCTCATGAGCATGAAAATATTCCCAATAACTCATACCATCTTTTCGTCACATCTCAGCCGTCGAGGCGAGAACACATCTGAGAAGAGCAACTGTTCATTAGAAACAAATAATGGGGAACCCTGAGGGCCCCTTCCTAGAGCCTACTCGGAGCCTCATTCACCTGTTTGTCCACAGAACGTTGATACGACTTCGGCCGAGCATCTTGTGTGGACTTCACCGAGGAATTTCAAGACTCTCGTCCCACACGTGAGCATGAGGCATGAGCTTTTTCTAAACTAGAGCGTTGTAGTGGGGGGGATCACCAAAGAGTGAAGCATCCCCGAACACCACTGAGCTTCGCTCGTTGAATCATCGACATCTTCAAACCGAATTTAGGTAGCGCTATGTGTGACCTGTACTATAGGAGGGCTTGAAGTACCTCACTGAGTGGTGCAAGGGTAAGGTTCCGGCTTAATATAAACTGCGTCGTAACGTAAAATTGTGGGCGCACGCTAAAACTTTCGCATCTTGAATAAATTCGATTAATTATGGTACTGTGCTGAGAGTTGGTTGCGCCCGACGACATCTATTTATACAGTTTTGTTTTTTTCCCAATTCTGTCCATCTTTCACTCGTGCTACTGTTTTCGGCACCCTATAATACAACAAAAACTCACCTATGCGCATTGTCTTCATACGGCATGCTCAGAGCTACAACAACCAGTTGTGGGAGGAAGTGTTGGCTGACCATCTAGGGCGTGCTAAACCAGCAGAAAAACATTACGACCAGATTCGCTCCGTCGATCCGGGTATTTCTGATCTTGGTAGTAGTCCTGCTGTAGGGCAAGAGCCTTGGAACGGTGTTCTTATGAGTAGGCTCGCTCCAGGCGGAGGCGTTGTCAAGGACGATACGCCATATAGTGTTGACCCCCGCCCCGCCGATCAACGCTTCCCCTGTGGAGGCCGCTAAAGCTGCTTGCTATAGGGAGGGCGACAGAGTAGCCAATAGAGTGATGTTGGCGTCGAGTCCTATGAGACGAGCCTTGGAAGTAGCGACTACTAGTACTCCCTCAATGTCTTCATAATGGTCACCTTTTGTTCTTCAGACGGCACAGCCTCTGCTGAAGGCTTTGGCCGAGGGCGTTGACGGAGTCGATTTTAAGGGGGCGTTCGTGCAGCCTCAATTCTACGAGGTAATGAGAGATTAGTACTAGTGGTGGCATCAGCTCCTTTTGTTCAGTTCGGCGGGTGTTTTGCGCCAAACCCGAACCCAGAGGTCCCTGCTGATGGGGAGGGTCGCGAGTACAGTGTAGAGGATCTGGCTGGTGCTGCCTTCGTTGGGTTGTCTGGGATGACTGCTAGTGAAATTCGGGAAGAATTCGGTTGTGAGTGGCAGTGTTCCAACTCAATGGAGGTAATGCATGTGGTCTAGTCGTTAGTCTGTTTTCCTCTCATCCGGATGGTATATGGTTCGATTCTCGGATAGTACGTTTTATAGACTCAATTGCGCAGTATGAAGGTTTTTTCCTGTGTGAAGATGCATCTGCTGCTCAGGATGGATGGTATGAACCCTCCCAAGGCCGGGAGACACTCAAACAAATGCTAGAGCGGGCTCGTAAGGTTGTTGAATGGATTTATAAAATGGCTGCTTCTAGAGACGTCGACACCTTATTCGTTGTCACACATGTAATAATAGGACTAGATAGTCGTTTCGTCCTTCACTTGTTCTCTCTTTTTTTCAGCAAGACTTCGGATGCCTAGTCCTGAGGATGCTCCTGAATGCGGACCATCCCCAGTGGCTGTACAACACCTCAACGACCGCTGTCGAAGTCACTGCTAGCTTTGCCCCTAGGGGTTACTCCTCCACCTCAACTGCGGACTCTGGCGAGCAATATCATGGGCCCTCGTCAGATGCAGCAGCGACACCGGAGGTAGGTCGAACGAGAAGCAACACTGGGGAGGCGTCCAATACTGAGACTTCGACGGAGAGCGAGGAGAGCAAGTCTGTTATGTTGAAGGGGAGTAGCAGCGGTAGTGGCCTCCGCAAGCGGAACGTGGGGAGGAAGGTATATCGGACGGCATGTCTATTGTGGGCTAACAGGTAACGGCATCAATGGCATCGATATTGGCCGTGGATTCTGGGGGAAGTAGTTGTGTTCTATTTCTACCGTTTTCAGGACTGATCACATCTTGCTGACCTACGGCATGGGCTCGCAGGAAGAGTCTCATGAACAAATCCCGGCAGTTACGTCAACTCTGTCAGACATGCTAACGTTTTAGCTCGTGTAAAAACATCGTCATCATCGTCGTCGTCGATCGAATCCTGCTGCTACTCCCAAGCCCTCATCATACGGGGTACCATTCAAAATATGCATACTTGATCATATCGCGCTTCATCCCCCTCCCCCTTCATTTTGATGCTGGTGGAGGTTTTTGGTTGTGTGTGTGGAGCTTCTAGTGCTGCTCTCCTAGGTAGGTTCGAGCTTCATTCGAAAACCCTTCTTGCGTTGAGTGGCAACCAATGTCGATTACAGTAGTTTTTACTCTTCAAATTGTACTAGGAAAATGATGCCTCAGACAATGTCACAGCAAAGGACGTCTGCGGCTGCCGCCCCCATGAACACCTTCGGAATGCCTCAGTCGGGAGGCCCAATGATTCCCCCACAACAGCAGCAGCAGCAGCAACCTACTGGACCGGTCTCGTGTTCGTTCGACACGGGCCACACGGGCTCGATACATGACGCTCAGTTGGACTACTATGGCAAGCGTTTGGCCACGGCTTCGGGAGACTCGACTGTTCGAGTCTGGGATGTCAGTGAGTATTTGGTGTATTGGACGAGCACTTGGGGCGGGGCTTTCTCTCGAGAGGGCGTGGGTTCGATCCAGTCGACATATTTTTTCCGTCGAAAAATGCCTATCGTTGTAGGTACTGAGCAACAGGCGCTGCTCGGCGAGCTCCGTGGACACAGCTCACCCGTGTGGCAGGTGTCCTGGGCTCATCCCAAATACGGAAGTGTTCTCGCCAGTGTTGGGTATGACAGACAGGTAGTCGGCATCGACGGCCTCGTCCGTGTCGTTGAGGGACTGTGACTGTAGATAATCATTTGGAGGGAGAGAGTAGCTGGAGGGTATCATCAGCATCAGCAGACGACTACTTGGGAGCAGCTGTAAGAACAGGGCGTTCGGTGTGCTAGGATTTGTGGAAGGAGTGGTATGTTGGTGGTGCATGGGTGCCGTTGCGATGCTTTAGGTACTGCGATAAGTCTCACACGGCATCAGTGAATACGTGCGCTTTCGCTCCGTGGGAGTACGGCTTGGTTCTGGCTGCTGGCTCGAGCGATGGCAGTATCTCGGTCCTCACTCACGAACAGATGTCCACGTGGAGTCGCAAGTAATATCATGATGCCAGTTGTGGGGTTCGAACCCGCGACCTAAGTGAGGCACTATCGATGGTCTGGATTCCTCAGAGCCATCCCAAGAGCCCATTTGGGAGGTGTGCTGGCGCTATCCTGGAGCCCTGCTACTACTCCGTCCACTTTGGCCTCGGGACCTGCGGTGGGTCATCACTCTTTGGGCGTTAACACTGTATTGCTGTGCAGGTTCAGCAGCAGCCTTCGAACGAGGAGCAAGCGGGCCCTAGACGGATCGTCTCTGGGGGGAACGACAACCAGGTGGATGAGTTTGGAAAGGAGTGGTATAGCTGTGGTGTATCCGTGAATGAGCAGGTGCGAATCTGGCGTATGGACGAGGCGACGGGGGAGTGGAGTATGGAAACTGAGTTGCCCTCGGGCAGGCACACTGACGTTGTAATTGTGGTCGCGATGGTTGCATAAAATTTGATGCCGTAGGTCCGCGATGTCGCTTGGAGACCGAATGCGGGCATTCCTACCCAACATATCGCGTCATGTTCGGAAGATGGCAGTGTTGTGGTATTCGGCGTATGGAATTTCGTGGCGCGTGACGATTTGCCCTCCAGATTTGGCAGTGTGATATGGAAGGGCAAGGCTGGAAGGTCGCACAGGAGTTCCACATGAAATCAGCTGCTTATAGGCTCAGCTGGAGCATCACTGGAACGGTAGGAGCTCAGCTGGGATGCATTTGATATGTCGTTGAAGTCGATAGGGACTTTGCCATCATATCAGTGCAGGTGCTTGCTGTTGCTTTGGCCGACAACACAGTTGAGCTCATCAAGGAAAATTTCGATGGACAGTTCGTGCATCTGAGTGGGGTCGACGAGCAGGGTAGTAGTAGTAGTAGTAGTAGTAGTAGTAGTAGTAGTAGAAGTAGTCCTCGCGCCACGAGTACCAATGATCGCGAGCCCTGGTCAGGTGTTCCAGAGGATAGCAACGGTTCAGCTGGGAATGGTATGATCGGCGCATATGGTCCGGATGCTCATCAGGATCCTCACAATGTCGCGGCAGCTATACTGGGGTCGGCGTGAATGATGGTGGTTCGTAGTGGAGGAAATATTTCGAATATTTTCAGCGTGTCGCGTTAGTAATATTCTAATGAGGTTCGAGTAAAACTCATTTGTTCTTAGCTTTGACGATGTTGGGTGACGCGCCGGGCTTTATCGACTCTGTTCCCATCGGAGTCTGCCGGACTGATGATATGAATCTGAATTCAACCGCTTCTGAAAGTGTTTCGATGTGCATGTCGTCGCGTCTTGGTGAAGACGCCACATTGTTTGTGCAGCAGGACACGTCGTCTGCTCCGCTGGCTGTGACTCAGCTCGAGAGTAGTGGGCAGGCAGATGCTGAGGACGATACGATGTTGTTATATCGTCCCAGTAGCTTCATCACACTACCTAAAGTGGGACGGGCAGTTGGTGTATTTGAGGTTACTGGTGATTCCTCGTAGCATTCGTCACCATACGCGCTCGCCAAACGGGCGGAGAATGCCCGGGACTATAAAAAGGCACTGTACTGGCATACGCAGTGCATCGAGCAAGGCATACGAGTAGGGATACCGGGGCACGGTCTCGACTTCCAAAGCGGCTTCAGGTTGTGAGTGCTGTGATGGATGTGGTTGAGCTGTTCGAAAAGTTCGGTGAAGAGGAGGAGGCGCTAGGGTTGATGATGAGGTATGAGCACTTGGTACCCAAGGAGCGATATCATGCCTTCCGAAGGTAGATCCAGGACTGGGGTCAGCGAAGTGGGGACGTTTTACTCAGATTGTACGATCGAGTTAAGCGTGGTCTTGATCGTTCCGTGCCAACCGGTCCGCGTATGCTGGGGGTTACTCTTGTGTCACCGCGGGCCATAGAGGAACGAGGGATGGAGGTGGGAGACCCGCCACAGCGGTATTCGGCTGATGAGCTTGCCATTTTGGGGAGGCTGGAAAAGGGGTAATAATGCTCTTGCCGAGGTTCGAACCAGAGACCTATTGCTGTCACTCGGTCAGGCCGTTGAATGTGAAATTATTGGATCGGCTATTTCCCAATCCTCAGAAGATTGAGTCTCTTGTGAGGAGCTCTTTCATGACGTGCTCCCCATCATTGACGTATTCAGGCGATCTGTGAGGCTCATCCCGATACAGGGAGTCAGGTAGCCTACGTACAGTTTGAGAACCAGACTTCAGCGAAGAAGGCCATGATGACTGAGAAAGTAGGACATTGCTCCCTTGGTCGTATAAACAGGGTGACGACTTGAAAATGACCTTGTCTCTATTACTTTTTATAGCGAATGAACTGAGAGATAAATCATATACTATTGAATATTACTATCATATACTATACATATACAATTCGCTCCTAAAGTTATGGCGGTAGGGCTGTATTTACTTCGGCACCCTGGATGATGATTATTATTATTATTTGGACCGCGTAGGTTCTCTGTAACATCCAAGTGAGATGGGCGGAGAAGACGGTGACGATGTTGCCTCCACCGAAACATGCTTTGGTGGATGCCCGTCGTGTGCTTGACTCTGAACGTTTGTAGGTTGATCTGAAATTGTGGTAACGGTAAGGCGACGTTGTTTTAGTATAACGTCACCTTTTGATACATCGTTGATGCTCTATACAGTGCCTTATGACTGGACCCCAGAGACTGCTATGGGCCAGCCTGAGGTGGGTTCTTTGGAAGGAATTCAGAATCATCAGCGTGATGATATGATCCTACATCCCACTTAGGGCGGCTAATACTGTTGTGATGAAACGGTTTGGTCGAATAGGATGACCATTTTAAGAATAAGAATTACTTCCTTTACTTTTCCAGAAACCCTGCCGTTAGTAGTATTGAACAGTAGATGAAGTTGTGTGGAAAAGCTGGCATCAGGATTCTTAGTAATGGTCCTTGTGAAAAATCAGAGCAGCTTTCGAAGATCAAGTTTTTATTCGCGATCAGACTGCGCGAGAGCAAGGCGAAACTCCATCGGTGGCGCCGAGTTATGCCACAGTGTCAAGAGGCGTTGGCATCGCGGGGGATGCTCGAGCGATGCAGTTCACCCAAAAAATGATTTGTGCTATGCGACTGCTGGAAGAAATCTCAAGTGAGAGAGATCCTGGTTCAAATCTTAGTGTCGGCATTTCTCTGCTCAGCGAACTGTCCCCAGTCGGAAGGGGTCCTTTTGGGCGAGGCCTATGAGGCCATCGGCAGATTTGATGAGGCATTCGTGTGAGAATCTCTTCCCCTCACCTCGCTGGGCTCACTAAGGGTGGTGATTTGATCTCAGAATTTACGCGAACACGGCGATCTCTCGTAACTCACAGCTGGACCAGCCACTGAACCAAGACTATGAAGTCCTTGACTGCCTTATAAGGTACCGTTCACTGGGAGGTATCACGTAGTCTTGCGTAGCCTCTTACACGGTAGAGTTTGGTCGTACAGGGATCATCACTGTTGATTGTAATAGCGCAGTTCAGTCGTTCAGATGTGCTGTAATAGCAGCTATCTGGGGTGGCAGCTTCGACGCCGGGTGCCTCATACTGGACTGCGTTATCGCGACTCAGCCATCGTTAGAAGTAATCGCCTTTCTGCTCCACTTGAGATTCGCTCTACAGCTTTATGTTCAGCTTCTGTCGGAAACGGCAAGAAATTTGCCTTCACCCCCATGAGCAAGTTAGATCCCCATCTTCATTAACCATTAAAATCGCTTATTGCTGTTTTTCTGCCGAGGGAGACCCCGATGACTTTCTCAGCGGAAACGATCTCAATATTTTTCTTGGGATCGTCGGACCGATGAGGAAGTATCTGCTGATTATCACAGCGGACAAATTTAGTAGAGCTTTGGACTTTCAGCGGAACTAGTCTTACACTTTTTTACCCTTAATTGGTATCTTTGTGATTTTTTCCAATGCAGAACCGCACGCGAATGTCGTTCTCTATCTTTCTTATGTAGAGCTGGTTATTATCGTATGTGTGTAAAATGTATTTCACTAGCCTCTAGATGCGTAGTATCTTCCATGTCAGCTGGTGCTTTCCCAATACCGCTGATTTTGGTCGATTTGGTAGCGAATAATTTCATCTCGATACGGTTTCACTAGGGCGTGCAAGACGATTATGTGTTGAGTTCATTTTCGAGCGACAAAACACTAACTTCACCGGCGAGAATAAGTGAATACACTTTATCTCGGAATTCAGTTATGAAGGAGCCTAGACATAACATGTAAATGTGAAAAATGTGTGTTATTTCCCGAGGTTGATGAGAATCTCCCTGAAATTATATTGTCAAGCTAATGTAAGCGTTGCTATGAACATCTACTTTGATATGAGTAGCCATTCGAGAGTCCCGAGGCGGGATTGTATGTGTATATGTCGGTTTTGAAGTTCAACGCCGTCGTCGGCTTGGTTAGAGTCGGGCTGTTATAGCGACAACTTTTTATCAATACCGGGAAATAATACACATTTTTTTCTGATTTACATATCAAAGAACTTCACTCAATGCCCTTGAGATGGTAGATGAAGTCTATCGGCATTGACACCATCAGTCCGCCCGTTCGCACGTATCAACATTCAGTCCCCGGAGGAACTTCAGTGATATAAAAGTACACTATTGGAACAATCATCATCGGGTGTCATAGACAATATTTCGTCAACTCAGACCGTTAGGATTGTTATAATATCATCATTAAAATGCAGTTTAATGAGCATAAAAAATTATCATCATAGTTACAATCAATAGCCTCAGTCCGCCCGTTCGCACGTATCAACATTCATCCTCCAATGGAGGCTTTTGCGATATAAAAGTACACTATTGGAACAATCATCATCGGCCTCCTCGAGAATTTAGCCAATTATTATCCACAAAAAGTATTGAACCTCTCATGGGTCTTCATATGGCAATAACTATGGCACGACGGTTTGAAACCGATGGTGGCTAGATGATAATACTTCTAGCCACTCTGCACGCACCGTGCGTTGTGTAATCGTTTTGAAACGCCTCAGAGCCCAGTGCTGGAAAAAGCGATTTCATGGCGAATTTATTCGCTCAATACTGTGAATGTCAATATGGAGTTATCATCATAGGCCGACATTTTGTATATCTCTCAGAGTAACTATGACATGTGTGAAAGTGGTCATCGAAGTGGACTGTGCAGAATGCACTAGGTGCCACTGATACCTTATAATTTACTATCATCATAGAGGACCCTATATTGAAGCACTGCTTGGAAGTAATAAAACAATAGAGTGACCAAGGAGACAGCTGTGGTTGTTATTGTAGTAGACCGTCTTGTCACTGCTACTGCTTAGAACCTCTTGCCAGTGCGAGACTGCTTCTGCTTGGGCATCTTAGCGGCGACAGGCTTCTCCTGATGCTTAGCAGTCTTGCCAGCAGCAGCACGAGCAGCCTTGGCCTTCTCCTTCTCCTTGAGCTCGGCAGCCCTCTTGGCATCAGCCTCCTTACGGAGCTGAGTGCGCTCAGACTTCTTCTTCTGGAAGTCCTCCAGAGAGAGACCCATGATGGCCTTCTGGACCTTCACAGTGCGACGTGTCTTCTTGCGGGCGACCTAATAAGTGACAACAATAATACCAACAATGTCACTGTTAAGTGGCCTACCTCAGTGGTCCTGACCTTCTTGTTGAGACGACGCCACTTCTCAGTCCAGGTCAGCTTAACAGGCTTGATGCGCTGCTGGAAAAGGGAGGCGGCCTTCGAGTTGAAGAAGAAGTGGGCCTAAGAACAATACAGTCATCTCGTCACAGGATGAGAATCACTCCCATTACCTTCCCGTCCTTAGCGATGAAACGCTGGCCGTGTCCGGGGTACACACGGAATTCGGTGTAACTGCAAAGCTCGGTCTTAACAACCTACACACACAAAAATCTCATAGGCGATAGTGAATGCGGCAAAGAACGATATCAGGTTTATGCTACCAGCACGTGTTCAAAAGATCGCAAAAACCCTGCATACGCCTCCCCGGTGAGACTTACCATGGTGACTGTTCGGTCCTCCTTAAAGTCGACGCATAGCCAACAAGGACGTAATCGATCACTTGGGCGAGCGACATATCAAACGATGGATGTTGGATTTTGGAAACCCAAACCATCGAAGATATGTGCGCAAATTGTCTCGTGGATAACGCACCTTCGAATAGTCGCTAAACTACGGCAAACGCTTACAAGCTCGTCGTAGCTATCGTTGCTTCAGCCCTTACACGCTTCTCGCAAGGTTCCTTGTCTAAAGTCATCCTTCATGGGACGCTAACCTTACCTAACTGAGGATATTTCAGGAGGTTTACAAACTTGAGGTTGAGATGTTCTGAATCGGGAAATCACGACTCCCAATGTTAATTACGAACATTGCATAACCGGAGCATCACTATCAGCAAGCATGAACTTTCACACTGCGCGATTATAGGAGCCCGAAACCCCCGGTCAATGAACTGACTACACATAGCAGGCTTTAACACGATTCAATACAGTTAACGGCCTAAGCGATTGCTGCTATAAAGTATGATGATGCGATCATCATATATGATGCGGAATTTCTTGATTTTTAGGACAGGGGTCACTACTTCGATACGTGGACCGGTGGTGCCTCTATCCCCTGCATCTCGTGACTTGTGATAACAGTCTAACGTCCCCTGGCTTCGGTCATGTCGACGGAACGAAAGAAGCAGTGTGGTCACTCGTAGGAAGGCTGGGTTTCAGATTAGGTTTCAGATGGAACTGAATAGTTATCGATGGTGAGTAGAGCTTAATATTTTTTGCTGCTGTTTAGTTAAGTACGTTAGTGTACTGCGTCGCCATCCGCGAAGCCGTGGGTTCAATTCTGGGCATATGTATTTTTGTGTTTTCTAACAGCTAAGCGAGCTCATCGTCCCTCTATCTTAGGGTTCCCCCCATAGGTTAATGAGCGACTCGGCGAGTGATATCGATCTCGATACGCTTGAGAATGGTCAGGCCCTACAGGATGAGGTAACGACTGATGACAGTGACGGTGCCACAAGCTGGAAGGGCGACTCTAAAGAGGTGCAAGAGCCTCCCAGAGCCTCCTGGTTCCTTCTACTCCAGTTCTGTACCCTCGGTTTCGTCGCCTTGGCACCGTGGAACTTCATTCTCACTGATCTGCTATATCTGACCAACAAGTTCGAGCATCGTTTCAGCTCGACCATTTCGATCTACGATGGTTTGGCCAACAACGTTGCCCAGTTGTTCATCATATTCTTCGGTAACAAGTTCACGTTCGCACCAAGGTTTGACATTGGTTGCAGCCTCTTGGCTGTATTCAACATTTGTTTGGCAATAGTTGCCATGACTGTTGGAGTGGACAATCCCTGTCCTAGCACAGACCTCGGCAATGCCCTTGGTATCGTCTGTGTGGTCATCCTGGCCTTCGGCCATGCTATTATGGAGTCAACCGCCCTAGGCCTGGCCGCCCTCTGCCCGAAATCATGTATCAATTGGGTTATGGTGGGTGAGGGCATGGCAGGTGTCATCGGTTGGCCTCTTCTCGAGCTCTTCGACTGCATATTTCAGAACGTTCACCGCAAGGACGAATGGGTCTGTTTGGTATTCTTCTCGGTCACGTCCGTTCTCACACTCCTCATCATGCCTATGTTCCGTCTGATCACCTCTAAGGATCCTCTCATCAAGCAAGTGCTCACCATAGAGGACCAGAGAAGGAAGGCTGGCAGTTTGAAAGTCCGCCAGACCAGACGTCCTGTGCGTGCGATTCTCAAGGACCTCGCCCCGATGGCCTTCTGTGCTTGGTCAGTCCTCACTATTACCTTCATATGCTTCCCCTCCCAAGCCACATTATGGCAGGCAGGGAAGGGAACCCCGGAGGCTACCGCAAAGTTCATTCCTCTGGTGACCTTCGTCTACCAGGTGGGTGACACGGTCGGTAGATTTGCCCCCAACGTTGGTCTGGCCATCCCTCAGAAAGCTCTCATCGTTGTCTCTCTTGCCAGATCGCTCTTCATTCCCTTATTCATCTGCACTACCCTCTACCCCACGGTGAAGCCCTTCCAATGGAACTGGTTTAAGCATATCGAGATGCTGATATTCGCTTTGTCGAATGGACTGTGTGCGACTCTGTCAATGATGTACGGTCCTCAGCGGGTGTCGTCTGACAAAGCCGAGCAAGAGGTTGCTGGTTACACCATGGCCTTCACTTTGGTCGACGGAATCTTCGTGGGTGGTCTCCTCGGTACTCTTACTGTATCGTGCTTGGGTGAATAGTGTTTTAATGGATGATTTCCTTCACACTAGTTCCTCCCCCCCCCCCCTTTGTTACTGTCCTTTCCCTCTGTACCTTTATTACTACACCTTGTTTAGCACGTATGATTTACTTATGGTCTCCATCGTATGAAGCATGTTATGTTCATTCAGGGATGGGCCTGGTAGCATATCTTTGCATATCTTAGGGTGTGGGATAAAAGATACGGAATAGGTCGGTTTACATGGTGCAGAGAGGAAGTAGTTTATTGCCCACTCCTTAATGTGGCGATTGGTTTTTGCTGGAAGAAGAGGCCTCACGATGGAGTTCTGATTCACCCACTCACAACAAGGTAAGTCTAGCCGTCTGGGGGTGCCTCTGCAGAGTGGCGTAGGACAGTACATGCCTTGGGCGAATTCGAATGGGTATTGTTTCCCATTAACGAGTACGGGTTTGAGCTCAACATTTTAACAGGTGTGATTTACCGATGAGTAACCGTCGTATACTTCGTGGGGTGGTGATTTGATGAGCTCCCAGCCCTTGTAACTTTTCAGAATGGTATGAGTGTGAAGTCCTAACTCGGTCACGATGAAAAGTTACAGAGAGCGGGTCCTCATTAGATTAGCACTATGTGGACTGAAAAGGTTACATTGGAGACCGTTACTGATACGGAAGGGCGAGCGAAAAGTGCCACGCAGTGGGAGTAGTTACTCCCATGAGTGGGCGTCTGTCATGCATATAGTGTTGGCCTTGCGTTGCCAGTGTAGTCTCAATGTTGTGCTCAGCTGGTGTGGAGGGATGTTGCTAGTTGTCGTGGGAGAGGGGGGCGTATTGGCGATGTTATGGGTACAGGTGGAAGGTATAAAATCACGAGTATTGGGAGCACTTCATCATTGTCCTAGATAGGTGATAGGGTGTTGAGTGCTCTTTATGTCACCGTCACCACCAAAGCTGCAACAAGCCGGGAGTGCCAAGCCGCCTCAGCCGGCCGTGTCACCGCCTCGACGGACCTCAACGGGGTCACAGCGAAGCGAGAGGAACAGCGATATGTTCTCCATGTTAGAGGTAATGCGAGGGGAAGCAGCCGTCCGTCTCACTCGGACTGGCACGGTTTTCAGGCGACCTTGGACAACCCAGCACCGGCGTTCTTTGTTCCCAACGCCCCGAAGGTTCCTCATTCTTTAGCAGCGCAGACGAATGTGGTAGGACTCTGCTGCTTGGGTGATGCCCTATGATTATGCTACGCCAGACTAACCCTATGGCGACCCTGGCACGTGGGGGTTCTGGCTCTTTAGAGCCGCCGAAGCTCGCTGGTCCTCCTGTGGCGATGCCCACCAGTTTTTGTACATGTAACAGGGCTGCAGGAGAGAAATGTACTTTTTGTTGGGCCTGGGAACCCAGTGAAGTTGGAAGCAGCATGCCTAGTGTCTGGTCGCAGGTGAGGAGATCACTATCAAACTTCAGGAGATCACTTCGGGTTGAATCAGGCTACTTCAAGATTGACGAGCAGTGCCTTGTCGAGCGGAATGTACTCTAAGATTTCCCTTTCGAGTGGAGTCTCCATATCGGGCAACTGGTTGCAAGGTCAGCGCATTCACTATGTCAAGCCCGACTGTATACCATCTAGAGGAGGAGCCACAGTGGTAGTAGGCGTGCTCGAATGATTGCGACGATCCGGAGAGCTCGGGGGTTCTCTTGTTTTCAGGTGGTTGGGCTGAAGAGGGAGATACCGCAGGACATGTGGAATGCATTAGAAATAGTTTTCCGACGTCATGATCGGCGTCCTTCAACACGCAACAGTGAGTTTAAAGAATGTCCCTCATGGGGGAGAGGCTTATGGTCAGGTCCCCAACTTGGCACGGCGCGGCCACCGGACAGCCCACAGGCGATTCCGGCAGGGTTTGTGAAGACTTTCAAGCCAGAGGGGATAAGGAAGGGTGATGTTACCAAGCAAAAGCGAGGTCAGAAAAGTGGTTTTCCTGTTAGGTAAAAAGCTAGCAGTAAAGATCAGAGGAGATCTTCCACCCGGAGACTACGACGTCTCGGTCTGCTTCGCTGGACGGATGCTGCATGGTACGTTACCGATCGAAGTCGTTGATAAGAAGGAGTTGAGCGATCGCGATAACTACCACGGTGAGCTTTGTAGGGCAAATCTTTTTGTGATTTGATTGTATTTCTCGGAAGGCACGAATTCGGAGGCAGAGAAGGTCTCGTCGTCAGCATCACATATGCATTCTCATCAGCCTAGTAGTGGGTCGCAGTCAGCTGCTGCTACCCCGGGCATGCCCCCAGCGTTGGCTTCTCTACTCGGTAAGTTGGATTGCTCTATAACGACGCCTGTAGTGTTCTGGGATAGGTACGACGAATAGTATTCCCGAGGGGGGTCAGTTGGAAAATCCTCTGATGCGGGCACTGGGGGGCTCCGGACTACCTCCGGCTGACGAGAAGTGATGATAGTCTTTGTTATTCTGTCGAAGTCATTCTCCTACTGCGGCTCTATCAGTATCACCGCAGGTGAGACTACTGTTTGTTCAAATACCGTGTATCAATGCTAGCCGCTGTTGTTGCGTCGCCACAGTTAGTTAAAAAAAGTAAACTTACTACCGTAATACCGATAATTTGCTATCTTGAGTTTTCGGAGACATTCGAGATTTAAGAGAATATGAGGAGACTTTTTCCTAAAAGCTTCTAGGTCCCCTAGAGCGTCTACTGTCACTGTCACGTTTCCTGCTAAATGCGATTTGATTTCGCAAGGAGCACTGTTCCACGTCCTAACACGGGAAGGTGCAGCAGCATCGTACCTCGGAAGTATTCTGATTTTTCCACATTGCTTTCATTCATTCTACGAGTTGGGGCTGTCAAGAGGTTTATTTTTTTTTCCCACAGCATCACAGTAAACAAAGGATGTGGAGAAAACTCACGCACATGCGAAAGGAAAACGTTTGTTGCAAATAGCAGCGTAATGAGCTGCAAAGAGCCTCGTGTCGTGATTATCAATAACATCGCGTAATATTCACGGATAGAGTAAATCGAGGTGTTTCCACGGTGCCATTAATGTTTCGATACGATGCCTCTCACCTAGAGTCAGAGGCATCTTGAAAGCGTGCACCCTCCTGCTGTGCCGACGCTGGGCATATACTTCTTCAATCTGTTTTGGGTTCATCCAACAAACACACGATCTACAGCGTTCACTTGCGAATTGTTTCTCTTATCTCCCTCGCGGTCTCAGTGAAAGTCCCCTGAGGGAATTCTACGGCGCGTTGTATCGGCGGTGATCGGACCAGTTGAGTATTCTCGAATCTATGAAAGTACATCTCTGTGAGGCGTCTCAGCATATTAAAACCCGTCATTAGCCATGTGTGTTCGCAACAGTCATAGCGCTTCACTGTGGTCGTCAGCCTGAGGTTCATGGAACGGTTGTATACGTATGCGTGTAGCCCCTGTGCGGCTCGTCCCGGTTTTTGAACATTCTCGTCGTTACAGAGCTTATTCCACTACTACGGAGGAGATCCATCAATTTAAACACCACATTATGGGTACATCACGGAAACATCAATAAACTTCTAAAATATGGTACCACCGTTTATACATGCGTGAAAACAGTCACTTCATCTGACAAGCATTAGCCAGTAGTCTCCTCTTGAGAATAGTGATAAGGCCCACCCTGTCTCGTCATTTGGTGAACTCCTCCGCCCAGTCCTCGATCTTCCGCTTACCTCCATTGTCGTGATCGACCATTAAACGGTCATTCCGGGCGTACAACAACATGAGCAGAAATACGGACACCAGCGAGCCGGCTATTAGGGAATCTAATCTTCTTCTTTTACCTGCGACTGAAGACTGCGATTCCCTCCCACCGAGTTCATTTCGAAAAATTTTCATGCGTTATGGAAATTCTAGTGAACACAAGTTCCCATACAATCGCATCTTCTAGTGCGCCTCGGCCTTCGCTTCAATTTTTATAAAACTGATGATATCAAGATGAGATGAAAGGCGTTGCTTTTAATTAGGGAGTACTGCAACCCACGATGTTTTCCCTATTTTTAGTTTTATTGTCCACGTAGAGAGCAGAATTGTTAGACAATTCGACATGACTATACTTTTCGACCACTGTAAACCAAACCCGACCGTCCCTACGTATTGTATCATCATCATACTCGCCACGACCGGCTGGAGGTTTACTAATCTCTTCCACTGACGGTGACGAGGACCGTTGCCAGTCTGACCACCCCATGGGCTTCGAGAACTTCTCGTATATGGACTGGACCTTTTTAATGAGATCGTGCGGGACGACGTCGCAGTAGCATCAAAGTTAGGAAGTATGCTCAACGACGCATTTTTACGGCTGCGCGGTCCCAACCTGTGCGCATTCCGGTCCCAACACGTGCAAGCCCATAGGGGGTTTGTTTTATAGTGGAAACGCGGGCCTTCGGCCCGCTTTTAACTCTAATGCCTTCTGCAACCCTATCAAGTATAACCTTACACTAAAATCGTCTACGACTTTAAAGCTACCTGGTCCAAAACGTATCAGTCTTCAAAAATTTAACTTATAAGTTAAATTGAGCGGGCCTTGGGCCCGCACACACAAAGACAGTTCTGAGTCTCCATATGTATTGGACGGAGCTTTATTCTCTCTCTGGGAATTCTTATGACCGAATCCTTCTTGCGCGCGCTGAAGAAAAATGTGGAAAAATGTCTCCCGTCGGATTCGAACGCGTAGTCGACAATCTCGCTCGCCCAATACTGAGCTAACGGTTTCTCGATCCAAATGTATGCGTGCTAGGGTCCACATGTATGCGCTACACCTGGGGGAGGTACGGCGGTAGTGACGCGGGGCCTCGGCCCGCTCTTGATCCGTGAGACCTCTTAGGACAGTTCCAGAAGACAAGACCGGCAATAATGCCTTATGTTCGCCTTCGAACGATTTTTCGTAGTCTAGCGCAGCTGTGGAGAAAGCACATTGAAAAGATCGTCGGGATGTGAGTTCGAATTTCCCTGCTCGCCCACATTGCGCTAGCAGGGGGCGAGAAATGGATTCGGCGAAACGGGAAAAAGAAATCGGCGAGACATCGAATTCCCCTTATACTACAACGGTTAATTTGCGGAGAGCAATCAATATGGTAACATGTCAAGAATCCTAGAATCTGTGCAATCTGCGAATGCTCGCACGTCCACATGCGTGCCGTTGTGCATCCATTCGTGTTATCATGTCTGTCTACACTTCGTTGCTGAGGCTTCATTAGTTTGGGTTTGATGAGTCCTGGGTTATTCGCTACTCGGGAAGGGCACACTCCACTGAGCCACCTCGTGGGCCACGAGTCGTGGCTGCTGACCGAGTGATACCGAAACAAAGAGATATCCGATCGGGCAATAGTTCCGTACGATTGGCTCCGGAACACTCGCTAGCCTATACTTCTTGCCCAGTACGTGGTCTATGAGAGGGCAGAGTCTAATGAGCCACTTCATGGCTACTGCTCGAGTGATCCGGATACAATTTGCATAAGCTGCGCAGCTTGAGATTTCAAGCTTACTGAACTAAGTTCTCAACTAAATGTCCGTGAAGGCAGTTAGATTCCACCAGATACCTGCCGTACCAGTACACCAGTTTAGCTACCGTAGCTGGCGACTGCTGATGTTCGTCCTCAGGCGCTCTACTACTCATACCCGCTTGCATCCTTTATTGTGATTCAAACTCCCTTCTTCTATCTTATCTTCCCCAGGTAGTCGGAGACTTGTTGACTTTCAAGCCCGGTGCGCAACCAGATTAGTATCATTCTATTGAATCACCATCTACGACTAGACATATCTACATCTAGACTATCAAACACAACTACCGATACTCTAGCAGTGATACTTGATTCCGGAATTGCAACCCGATTAGTGTATATGATATAGTTGAGACACTGCTGAGGGTCTATGACTCGGCTCAAGATCACCAAACACAATCACCGATACTCTACAAGTGATACTTGATTCCGGAATTGCAACCCAATTAGTGTATATGATATAGTTGAGACACTGCTGAGGATCTATGACTCGGCTCCAGATCACCAAACACAACTACCGATACTCTAGCAGTGATACTTGATTCCGGAATTGCAACCCGATTAGTGTATATCATATAGTTGAGACACTGTTGAGGGTCTATGACTCGGCTCCAGATCACCAAACACAATTACCGATACTCTACAAGTGATACTTGACTCCGGAATTGCAACCCGATTAGTGTATATGATATAGTTGAGGTACTGTTGAGGATCTATGACTCGGCTCCAGATCATCAAACATAATCACCGATGCTCTAGCAGTGATACTTGATTCCGGAATTGCAACCCGATTAGTGTATATGATATAGTTGAGACACTGATGAGGATCTATGACTCCGCTCCAGATCATCAAACACAATTACCGATGCTCTACAAGTGATACTTGATTCCGGAATTGCAACCCGATTAGTGTATATGATATAGTTGAGACACTGATGAGGATCTATGACTCGGCTCCAGATCATCAAACACAATTACCGATTCTCTACAAGTGATACTTGATTCCGGAATTGCAACCCGATTAGTGCATATGATATAGTTGAGACACTGCTGAGGGTCTATGACTCGGCTCCAGATCACCAAACACAATTACCGATACTCTACAAGTGATACTTGATTCCGGAATTGCAACCCGATTAGTGTATATGATATAGTTGAGACACTGCTGAGGGTCTATGACTCGGCCTCAGACTATCAAACACAACTACCGATACTCTAGCAGTGATACCTGATTCCGGAATTGCAACCCGATTAGTGTATATCATATAGTTGAGACACTGCTGAGAGTCTATGACTCGGCTCCAGATCACCAAACACAATTACCGATACTCTACAAGTGATACTTGATTCCGGAATTGCAACCCAATTAGTGTATATGATATAGTTGAGACACTGCTGAGGGTCTATGGCTCGGCTCCAGATCACCAAACACGATTACCGATACTCTACAAGTGATACTTCATTCCGGAATTGCAACCCGATTTGTGTATATGATATAGTTGAGGTACTGTTGAGGATCTATGACTCGGCTCCAGATCATCAATCACAATTACCGATACTCTAGGAGTGATACTTGATTCCGGAATTGCAACCCGATTAGTGTATATCATATAGTTGAGACACTGCTGAGGGTCTATGACTCGGCTCCAGATCACCAAACACAATTACCGATACTCTACAAGTGATACTTGATTCCGGAATTGCAACCCAATTAGTGTATATGATATAGTTGAGACACTGCTGAGGGTCTATGACTCGGCTCCAGATCACCAAACACAATTACCGATACTCTACAAGTGATACTTGATTCCGGAATTGAAACCCGATTTGTGTATATGATATAGTTGAGACACTGATGAGGATCTATGACTCGGCTCCAGATCATCAAGTACAATTACCGATCCTTTACAAGTGATACTTGATTCCGAAATTGCAACCCAATTAGTGTATATGATATAGTTGAGACACTGCTGAGGGTCTATGACTCGGCTCCAGATCACCAAACACGGTTACCGATACTCTACAAGTGATACTTGATTCCGGAATTGAAACCCGATTTGTGTATATGATATAGTTGAGACACTGATGAGGATCTATGACTCGGCTCCAGATCATCAAGTACAATTACCGATCCTTTACAAGTGATACTTGATTCCGAAATTGCAACCCGATTAGTGTATATGATATAGTCGAGACACTGCTGAGGTGTATGACTCGGCTCCAGATCACCAAACATAATTACCGATACTCTACAAGTGATACTTGACTCCGGAATTGCAACCCGATTAGTGTATATGATGTAGTTGAGGTACTGTTGAGGATCTATGACTCGGCTCCAAATCACCAAACACGGTTACCGATACTCTACAAGTGATACTTGACTCCGGAATTGCAACCCGATTAGTGTATATGATATAGTTGAGGTACTGTTGAGGATCTATGACTCGGCTCCAGATCATCAAGTACAATTACCGATCCTCTACAAGTGATACGTGATTCGGAAATTGCAACCCGATTAGTGTATATGATATAGTCGAGACACTGCTGAGAGTCTATGACTCGGCTCCAGATCATATGGGCGCGCGCTAAGCACCTTGACGCGTGCGAGAAACACTCGAAATCACCCAGATCCTTCAAGGTACCGCACAGCTGCGGCGGATGATCCGCCTAAGCGGGTATTACTCCCATAAGCTGTACAGAACGTTTAATGACTAAAAGCGGGCCGAAGGCCCGCGTTTCCACTATAAAACAAACCCTCTATGGGCTTGCACGTGTTGGGACCGAAATGCGCACAGGTTGGGACCGGAGGGCATTTTTACGGACGCTCCGAACGAAACCGCTTTTCTTTGGGCGCACGATGAAAAGCGCGCGCCCTTAATTCCCGAATCGCAGTCTTCCTCCTGAATTTAGCTGCAAGTGCCACTTGCTGAGTGGACTGTTGATGACACTTCCTTTTGCGACTCACATTGTTGTGGGGTGCCTGGTATTCTCTCACGCTAGGGCTCAATCATCGATTATTAAGTCATCAATCACTATTGACCAGTTCGGGGAGTTACTTCTCACAAAAGGCTTGATAAGCAACGTCGAGACGAAGGGATTGAATGACAGTGGGGAGCAAGCCGAAGGGATCGCTACTGCTACCTGCAACTTCTATGGCGACAGTAATGGTCTGTGTGTCGTTTAGGAACTAGACGGCGACTTCACCGACATTTTCATGTACAACTCTTTCGTACTAGGACGAATCCCCATGGAGGTCACTTCGCGGGGTTGCTCAGTGATAACCTACCCCCCCGTATCGTTCACCGCCCTCAAGAGGGTTCATCAATAAACTTAGAAATCTGGTCAGAAGGATTCGCTTTACTGATCCTGATCCTGCGTATTATACTCATCTACTGTCTATGCCCTTGCGATATCGATCAGCTACGTATCAACTCCATCACCTCTAGTGTCTACTCGAACCCGTAGACAAGAAGTCCAGATTCAGTCGAGCTTATGTTCACCAACACGGGGGACAGTCAATTCATCAGAACTACACCTTCAACCGAATCGACGCTGAAGACTTCCCCCAAGTTCTCCGCGAGAATTCTGGACGCTTCAAAGTCCTATGGGGGGCCATCCCTCGTACGAACTCACGGAGCCTCGCCAAGATCACATCACAAACTATACTAGTATCGCAACACGTTCTAACAGGAGCCCATTGAACATCGGGAAAATTGCTGAGGGGACCGCTCACTGCAAACCCTCGTACTTCTAGCTGAACGTATATAGCTGTAAGACTAGACCCTCATCCTTATCGCGAGGCTAACCAACCATGGTTAGTGCCCCCCAAGGGGTCATCACAGTCATGAGTAATGGAGGAGAATATTCGAAGTTCGACTCTCGAAGGGCACGACTCGATTCCATATCGACATTTTATAGCTCCTCGAATGAACAGAGTGACAGGATTCTCTCCACTGCACATCGGCCGCATCAATGTGTACTCGTTACAAACGAGTACCCCTTATCACAATACACCTTTACAGCAACCTTAACATTATAATCGATTATCATCAATCTCGAAGAATAACAAGATTTTCGGCAAGCACTGTAGAGTGCCACACTGAGTAACGCAAGAGGACAACACACTAGACAATATTGGTGAAACTGCTCAGTTATCGACTTCCTCCACAGATGCACTCGCGATAGGTCTTCTCCTCAAAATAGAGCTCTCACTCTCTTCCTCTCCCTCACCATTTTCAATAGCCGTGACCGCGGGAACCTGCACAGGGGAAAGGTCGGAACCGAAAACAACAATAAGACCACATCGTCCAGCTCGTCGGGTTCATCTTCAGCCTTCCGAGTCTCCTCCTCGAGCTTCTCTCTATACTTCTTCATTTCGGCCGCTTCGGCACGTGCTCGTTCTCGAGCCTTCATACGGGCGTTTCTAATCGAACTCCCGATAGAGAACGCGATGTGGGCGAGGTGTGGTACTACTTTGCAATGAGTTCAGCCTTCTGGTCTCTTACTATGAACAACAAAGCCTCCACGAACAGTGTCACTACACAGCAAAATCCACCAAATAAGTATCTCTGAACGGAGATGATACCAAGTCGCGCTCAACTGTAGCCCCAAGCTTACGTATGTCGGGTCCATATACTCCCGAAATATCTTAATAAAGTAGTACCCAAATGCAAAGGAGCCCAGAAAGGCCATTATGAAGTGTAACGCAGTGCTGAAAAACACAGGCATCATCCACTACGAAGACTGAACCGAACCGGCAGCGAAAATCCAAATAGTCAACTGAGCGATCGAACGTTGTATAAGCTATTGTGCCAGAACAAGTACAGTGATATATATCACACTTGGAGGTATGTCACGCGAAAGGCAAAGTATTCCTCAACTAATGACCGGAAGATACAGATTGGGCCCAACTTGTTACTACCTGATATTCTCACTAACTCCCTTTACTTCCTCTGCCACTGTAGAAGTGCCTTGTTTTCTATGGGCTGCCGCTACGAAATTGAGCCTAGAGGCACCTTTGAGGTCGGCACCAATCGACCTTTGGTATCTGAATGGTCATGGTAATGCCTTTCCCTAACATGTCATATCGTGCTACTTCCGCTCCGCTGCTTCGGCTCTCATACGTTCGACTGGAGACAACTTCGACAACTGAAAAAATGAACATAGGGAAGGAGGCAGCGATAGCCCCCGTGGTGCTACCTCTTCCTCATCATTATTGAGGCGCGCGACAACTTTGCAGTTCTTCATGACGTCAGCCAAAACGAAAGAGCTACGCTTATCGTGATGAACCTAAGAATACCGTCACGGCACACCTGGGAGCGCCTCTCGCGCTCTACTACCCTGCGGTTGTGGTCGTCCACCATCTTGCAGAGATCATCCAAATCAATGGTATCACGATTCCTGTACACCTTCCGCAGAGCCGCTGGTTGAGAGTTGAGGAAATAGCGAATCTCGTCGCTGATCGATACTAGGACTTGAGTCGGCATAGAATGCGGCGAAAAAACAGATAAAGGAACTGCAGTCAAAATCTAACTATGAGGAGTCTTGATAACACAGTACAAAATATAGTGAAAAACACTGATCGTCGACACTAGCATCATGATGCAGCGGTAGATAGCCCTACCATCTCGCTCGGAAATGACATGACATGACATACAGTAGCTCCCTACTTGTCCACACAGACGAAGGAGAGTCTCTTCGTTAACCCCCTACTGTTAAAGGGATCTTTTCCGATTTATATTATAACCCGATTAAGAATCGAAGACCTCCCTCCCCACCAGCATTCAGTCACAGTCGAGAGACAAGATCGTACGATCGTTCAGTGAGCAAACATTGCCACATTACTAAGATTAAATAGGGCATGTCCTTACCGAGAATCGAACCAAGAACGTTATAGGGCTATCTCAACAGTCCCCCGAGTTGGGAAAATTATTGTTCTTCATCATACCAACCCATCATACAGGCCCAACCCGATTCTGTTAACGTCGACAGGAGCCTTCTACGTGGAGTCTTGCGAGATTATGCCACGAATTCGGTCAGAAGGAAACCTTGCGAGCCCGGTGCTACCCTAGAGACCTAAGCTACCAGCTACAGAGAATTGTCGAGTAAGAAGAAAACGCTGAACAGACGACTGACCCGGTTTTACTACTGCTTCTCTCGGCTTCCAAGCGCCAAGACATAGTAGACTTATTTCCCCTCCAGAACCTAGGCGATTGAGCGGCCTGTTATGAACCTGTTGTGAATCATACATACTTCGATCTAGAATTTGCGAGGTCTCAGGATTCAATCAATATCAAGAGGATAGCCACTGGATCACTTGCTACCATCAAGCTGAGACTTGATGCGCTCGTCTAGTCAAGAATGACGGACAGTTCGCGTTTACCCTGAGGAGCCACGGTGGTATGTTGGGGTCGACCAGGATGTCGAAACCGTATATCTGTGTACTTTGTGGAGTGTGAATGGGAGGGTTATACTCTAAGGCTCTGTAAGGCTTACTCTAACCGTTAGAGTAAGCCTTACGTGTTTGTAGAAATGCTCGGCGTGTTCACATGAGTTCATTTTTCTGCCCAAAATATATGTAGCTCGAACAACGCTGCGAATGCTGATTTATCGTGTGACAATGAGCGATACTCGAAAATGAAGTCCCTCGATAGCCATTCACTCGGAACACAGACAGCGTGTCCGAGTGGTTAAGGAGGTGGACTTGAAATCCACTGGGCTCAGCCCGCGCAGGTTCGAATCCTGCCGCTGTCGTTTGGCATTGATGAGAAATCAAGTTGTCATCGTCTCTATGAATCATGTTTGGCGTAACCGAGTCGAGCAGAATCAGCAACTTTTTTATCAACAACACTCTTTCTTCCCCTAAAGAATACTTTCTTCATCGCGAAGAAGGATATTTTTTCTCTTCTGAAATACTCTTCACCCCTCCCTTCAAAAGTGCCTTTCCCCACACAATCCAGGCCACTACCTCAACAACTCAACAATCATCGACAACTTGCCACTCCTTGCACCAACATCCAACAACAAAAACATGAATATGGGAGTCGTACACCATTTATCGTCATGGACTCCCTTTCAGTAACACACTGTGTATCAGTCGTATCGCGGCCTCCTTAGTCGGTAGTTCTCCGTTTCCTCCTGCCGCGGCTTGCCCGCATGCCAGAAGCAAGTCATAGCTCAAGAGCTCATGTCTCGGTATCACCAGCGACCAGGCCTCTTTGGTGAGCTCCTCCGCGCGGGAATGATCAATGGGATAGCCGAGCGGAATATTCCTGAAAGCATTTCCCTGTCACCAAGGATGGGAAGGGCAGTCCGAGCTGATTACAATTTCTCCTGGCTGAGCACCGACAATGATGTGATTATAAACTGCCCAGTGCCAGGGGTCGCAGCTATCTCCACTCCACGCGTATTGCCTTCCTGAATAACCATAATTCCCACTAGTGATTCACAGCAGCAACCGAGAATGAACAATCATAATAGCGCTGCACTGCAGAGAGCCCCTAACAAAGAATCACGGAGCTCACCTCGTCACGTGCCCAAAAATTCCAACGTCCCATGGCACTTGCGGATAAGTTGCTGACGTAATCGAATGCCCAACGGTCAACACCTAAGTGTGCCGAGTCGATAGCATTCTCGCCGGGACCAACGCATCACCAGGACTTCCCTGAACTCTCCTGTCCAGCTGCTGTTGGCAGGTCTTATCGTCGCCTTCGAGCTCACTCGATATAAAATACTTCAAATTTACGTAGTATATCAACATGTACCTGAGCATTCCAAACACTTCAACCGGTGAGCGCAATTGTAACCCGAATACCCAATCGTATGAGGAACCCCACCTTCCGGCAAGAATACACCGAATGGATCTGCGGTGCTCTCTGCCCTTCCAAGGCGGTCGAATCTGACGGCCACAGTGAATCACTTCTGTACCAACAGCAACTAGCTTTGACCTCTTGTAGAAGTTGACACACCTAAGCTGATACGCCTCCCCAGAAGATCCTCGATGAGCCCATACCGTCACCGCTTCCTCGTCTCCCTGATCGACAGAAAATCCGATCGAGCACCAACCGGTCAGCCAGGCCTCACATTCTTCCATGTCGCCGAACACGTGTCAGCACTTGAGCCGATATCAATACTCGATAATTGACCCATCAAGTCTCCAAGCTTATGCTGTTGTATTTTCTTCCGCAACTCCTTCATCCCTCGGAGGTCCACAACGTCCAGCCCTTCGAAGCCGTCGAGACTTCCTGGCACCTCAGGCCGACTATAGGGATTCGGCGGATGCTGACGAGCCTTTCGGACCTGAAATGACCTAGGCATTTGTAAAGCATAAGAACCCTATTCAGCTTAGGAAAGGGCCCACCTTCGGAGCGTATACGCTGAGCATTGCCGCCCATATCACAACGAGAGTCGGACCATAATGAAGATAAGTCATCACTGGAGAATGACGACGTGAGGCCCCAACCAACAGCAATCTGCTTGGCGCCAGGAGCCTCCGATGCCCACCGTATTCGCTCGGTCACTCCCCACGGAGGGAGCCCACACATATAGCAGATGCGCCGTGGCTTCTTTCGAGTTAGCGTTACCAGACAGATTTAATACTTATGGAGAGTCTATAATCTAGTGCTTAACACGTCTTCCCATACACACTACGGCGGAGACTACCGAGGACACTCTCAACAGAGGCAGCGGCATTTGCAGGACTCGTTTGATTCAACCTGATTTGCTCAGGGTAACCATTATGAATAGTTTGCATATTGTTCAACAAAACCGACACCATTCAACACCAGGATGAATCATAAGACAGCAACAACGCATCAGTACAAGCCCGCTCCAGCTCAGTTGAGCAATGCATCGAATATCGTACGTGCTGACATGGTCACGTATTTCTGCGTTTCTCCTAGGAGGCTTCCTGCCCCTCTACAGTAAGCCATGAAGGTGGCAGCGGAACCCTTCTCGTCAGAGTGAGATGCGATTTCATTGATCAGCTCGAGGTTCGAATGGTTAATCGGGTAACCCGATGGAATCGCCCTGTGAAGGTAGATGGGAACTAGTGAGGCTGTTATTCCTGCTTACACATCATTCGGGCTGATCAAAGTCAACGACGTTATCATGAACATCCCTTTCTGCTCGGAAAAGACCATCTCCACACCTCGAATGATCCCATCCTGAGAAGTTCCACCCAACAGTAGCAATCGGCGATTCGGGAATTCCAAGTAACGAACATTCTCAGGCGATTCGAGGGAAGCTGATACTCTATAGTTTATATAGCCTTAACGCTAGTTACTATACTACACACTACAGAATATTCCAACCATTATAGTGACTTATAACTACAATATACAGACCATAATATCGTCAAAGTATATTATATAACGATTATATATAACTTCCTAACTATATACTTACTACTGGTATAACTCCTACTGAACTCCTACTGAGGCTATATGACTTCCTTCTACAACTAACTTGCTATAACACTAACTATACATATAACTTCAATACATTATAGTTCTATGAGGATCAAGACCCTCCTCGTTAGCTCACCTCGTCAGTAGACCAGAACACATCCTTCTCAAGTTTCAGAGACATGTCACGAGCAATCCTGTATGCCAAGGAATGCGTACCTGATTACTCCGATTCGCTTCTCCACTGGATTCCGACACACCACCTAAACTTCGCTGAACTCTCTTGTTCAATCGCTGCTGACAACCCAGGCCGTCGCCTCCCAGTTTAGTGTTCATAAAGTACTTCAAATTTACATAGTATCTGCCCACGTACTTGACTTCTGTGGAAGCATCGATGCCTTCTGGACTGATGAAATCTCTATACTGGCCCGGAAGTGCGCCTAACGGTGTCGGTTGCTTTAACCTGAAAACGAGTCTTTCTCATAATAATGAGAATCCCCCGCCCTTCCTTGCTTGTGATGAAAGCTGATACACTCCATGTGATAAGACTTGTCTGCAGCATCCCGACGAGCCCACACTGTAGATGACAAATCATCGTCCTATGGGAGACCATTGACACCTCGTGTAGTATACAATGACAGTATACCTTCCCAAGGGAAGAACAGGTGTCCTCAATAGGGATGCCCGATAGGTCGTCATGTGCGGCTTGGGGCTGAGTATTGGTGATACGAAGATTTGATAACTCCGAGGTCAAATCGAAGACATTCTGCGCGTTCTCCTTCTCTTGCGCTCGTGGTCTATCGTACGGCTTCTGATGGGCTTTATTCCCCTGAAGTCAAAATCTCAATTCTTTCCGCTTCCAAGGTCGTATTCAGCCAGGGGACGACTGTCGGAAGAATCACTATAGTTGCCACGGTGAGTTCCTGTCGGGATGTCGATCCCGACTAGATCCCAGCATAACAGAAATCGACTCGGTTATGAGCCTCCGATCAGTACCGGTAGGGAACAGTCAACTCAAGTAGCATCTACTCTATGCTTCAAGTGAGTCTATGCAGTTAGCTCACCCAAGGGGTACGAAATTTCGAGAGTTGACAGATTTGCACCGCCTTTGCTATGTCGCGATAGGTGCGCAGTAGGGCGAGAAATATGCTACTGTCTCTCAGACACGTATTTTCGACGAAACTAGACATGAATTCTGTGTTAATCGCCTTACACTAGATCTCTCGAGATCAACAGACAAAGTGGAAGCAACTGTACGAGGTTACCAAAAAATTCGCGCAAACCGCTCCGCTTCGCGTCATGTCGCGCATAAGCGGCCTCGATTGCTTCCCGTGGAGAATTGGGTACTCGGCTGAGAGAGTACCGACTCTCAGACGTGAAAGTTCAATGCACTTCGGTGTCCCCGTCCCCAATTGTAAATCACTTTCTGTTTTCGAAAAGTTGATCTGTACCTCCTAGACTAATCAGAGGCTAAAGAAGCCATAGAGCCGTCCTCTCACCTTCCGATGACGTGGTCTCGACGAACCAACTTCAACTATCACCATCAGCGCCGCCACGACGATCAAACGATAGACCATAGAAAACATCTCCTCGAGAGGGTAACTCTGGAAGAGATCACCCAGTGCTTCGAAGAGATTCGCTCAACACTGATGACATTCTATTTGAACAAACCTCGGTGACGACTCCATCATTCGCTCAGTTGGCGTCAGACATGGTACAACCTCACCTTTACCCACTGAAAAGCTGACTTGTTTGAACCTATCAGTTGGAGTACGACAAAGCTTGGAACCCCATCTAAGAAATCTCGTATACAGTCACGTCTTCATGTGTGGTATAACTTAATACTCGCACCTAACGGGGCTATGATGACCATGATGATTGTCATGCAAAAGGAGTTGTTCTGTATTGTGTCTTTTCGTCCCTTGTTTAGACGCAAATGACATTTACTAGCCCTATGCAAATCTTGGCGCGGAGGGGCCTTTATACATTCATTTACTATGTTAAATGAGCTTCCACAAAGTCTTGTACTTTGCGTTAATCCCTCATCATCTAAACTTCCGGGACAGGGTGAGGGCCCAGTAGACTTCACTCGCCGACGATGACTTTCTGACGCGCTTCGTGGGGGAGAAATCGTGCGCAGTCGATTGAGAGCGTCCAATACCTCGAGCCCATGTAACAGCCACATGTCGGCATCACATAACTCCATGCAGTATACTCCTTAACACCGCACTCAAGCCGTTACTCTCTTTCCACTCTGCTACATCTCACCTTCCCCCACCGATGGAGAGACAATCGGGATTAGCACCCAGTAGAGGGGAAGGCTGGGAACTCCCACCTCCTGAAGAGAATTGATTACCACAACAAGTCGGCCACCACGAAACTGAACAACATCACGGAATAGAGAACAACGACATAGTGGAGACAATAGTTGAATGCCTCCTTCTTGTAGAAGCGACTGAGGCTCCGCAAAAGACCGTCAATGAGGATTGCTACCATAATCTTCGGTGAGCAACTTCAGACGATCCGACAGAGTAACCAGAAGCTATAGCCTCTACACTACGTCTGAAACGAAGGTGGTCATGATGACCCGGTCATCAGATATGAAAACAACAATCACGCTGGTCAAGTGATGATATTACATACAGGAACTTATCATAGTCCCCTACTGATAGAGTAATCGGCTCGAGAAAGAGAACAGCCCAAAAAGGGAAACACTACCAGACGTAGCGGCCAACGTTACCGAATGGCAATAATAGAGAGAGAACATAGCATATGCGACGGAGGACAGCACTCAAAGCCCGCCCTGGTCCACAACCACTAGATAAACAAATAGTACTCGGATCCGCAGCGATGTACTACCCCTCTGAGAAAAATGACCGGAAAATGACCGGTCATGACATACAATAGCTTCGTGCTATTCCACACAGACGAAGAAGAGTCTCTTCCTCGACTCCCTACTTGAGTAGGAATCTCTTTCGATTCCTACCCAGGCGAACAGGCGACTGACCCTGTCTCACTACCCTTCTGTGCTCCTCTCGGCTTGCAAGCGCCAAGACATAGTGCACTGATGTTCTCTCCAGAACATAGGCGAATGAACGACCTGTTATGAGCTTGTTATAAATAATGCACGGATCGACCCATGATATGCGAGGTCTCAGAATTCATTCGAGGTCAAAGGAATAGCCACTGAACCGCATGCTATCAACAAGTGTGAGGGCCCAGCCATCAGCTGGGACTTGATGCGCTTGTCCAGCGGCTGGACTCCAGCCAGCTAGACCT